TTTCAATTTTGAATTCGGATAGAAGCAAGCTGTAACTGTTTCGGTGCCTTTTTTTCTCTTTTTGTTGACGGCGCCGCGTATGCAAAGCCTTCTCCTCTCTGTCCCCGCAATCGCTCCCTCCCGCGTTCCCTTCCCCTTCTCCCTCCTCTTTCTCTCTCCCCGTAATTGTTTTCTTGCTCTCTCTCTCTCTCTCTCCCGCCTTGCTTTTTGCGCGTCCATTTCCCTTTCTTGATCATCTGAATCTTGGACTCGTTTTGCGCTACTTCTCACGCCTTTCCTCTTCTCACCCTCTAAATCTGGCGCACGACGCCCGGTCGATCCATCGATAACTCCCGCTCGCCAATCAGGTGTGTGGATCAATAGAACCTTCCTATTGCGCGGTGAATCTGATTGGTTGAACCTTGAGTTTCGAGGGATCAACATGGCGTTCGTAGAACACTCTTCTCAAAGTCTTCTCCTCCTGCTTCTCCTCTTACACAGCTTTCCCGTTTCTTTCTACCCCTTCTATCTCCCTTGTCGCAACTATAAAACCCGCAAGCGCGTCCGCAAATCTCTCTTACGTTCTCGACTCTCAAGCCAGCTTCTGGGAAGCAGTGGCTAGGCAGAGTGTTTGGTGCGAGTCGGAAAGTCCTGTCGGGTTGACGATAGGCTGGCCGGTTGCGCACTGGATCGCCACGACGGACTGTGGGATCTGGGCGAACCGTGTTGAGTTTACGACAGTGGGGTGACGATCGCAGTGGTGGGAGTCAGCACGTGGCGGCCGCGATCGTCGGTGCGGGTATGAGGATCGATGAGTGGAGTTGAGTGAGTGATTGGCCCGGGGCCATATTGGGATTAATGGCGAATGCGCCTTTGTTGTTGCGGATTTTTTTCCTTGACAATGTTGATCCTCCTTTTGGGCTGCATCATCTCCTATCTCGACTCTCCTCCCTCACCTTCCCCTTCTCCTCTATCTTTGAATAATGATGTGTCTCGATGCTTTTCTCCTTCTCTCCCTTTTTTCTTCTTGGATAAGCATGAATCTGTATGCTTCCCTTGAGTGAAAGAACTTCTTCCGGAACTCTTCCATTAGTTTCCTGGGTAATCCTCCTACGCGAGGACCYYGTCTTCTTSTCTTRTGAACGGTGGATGCGTGTGTACTGTGCAAGCGATCCATCTTTTCCTGTGCATGGCTCATTTTTCGCACCTTCCACAATGGATGTATGTATGGAGATGTGTGACCCCCTTCTTTTTGCGTTGATTAGACGATTATCGTCGGGATTTTGTTCAAGAATGCAAGAGTGTTTAGATCAGTAGATCTGAATGTACTGCGCATGCTATGTGCCTTATGCTGCATGACATCAGCAGCCGAGCTACGGGGCGGCCTCGAGAAACAAGGCGCCTGGGATCAACGTTGCGCTTGCTCACTAAATCTGAGCCGCGGATCGGTCCCTTAGTTATATGCATGACCTAGCTGCGGAAGTGTCTTCTTTTGCCCTCTCTTTCTCTCGTGTTGAAAGGGATTGATTGTGAGTTGCGCGAGTATTTTCTTTTTTTAATGACATYGCTGGGTCTTTACAATTGATTGATATGTGGACTGACCAGTACCCTCCGATCGGGCACCAGCCTCCCGTACCTCCCGTCCCAACACGGCCTTTTCCCTACAACGAGGGAAGGACACGTGTATGCGAGTGGGACGTACGAGAAGCTGTTGCACAAATCGGCGGGCGGTATTACTTCCCTCCGGCAAATCGTTGCTCAGGGTTCGTGGAAGCCGGGTTTGTCATTATCGATACGCACTTCCGACCTTACTCGATATTGTTGCCATTCAACGAGTTGATCGTCATCCCGTGGACGGCAGTAGAACCCCACTGGCCGCACACTCTATGCACCGAATTCCAGCATTTTGAGCGCTACGAATCCAGGGGTTTCCACTACCGTGTGCGGAGTGAAGACGAGCGTAAAGAAAGAGCCACGCGGCTGAGACCATCCACGTCAGACTCGGAACTGACCAGCGAGCGACGACGAGATTTAATACGAAAATGAGACACGCGAAGCGTGCCAAAGCCTTTCCGTTCTAAACGACAGGCTGTAGCCCGGTTGAAAGCCTGACAATACTTTTTGGATTGAATTTGGATTTTTCTCTTTTTGCGCCGTGCCCGCACGCGCATTCCGTGACGCGCGAAGGCAATCGACTTGCTTCATCGGACCAACACGGGGGATTTCAGTTCCATCTGTGTCCCCACACTCAATTTCCAAAAATCCTTGGCACACCCCATCTTGCTGTTTTTCTGGGCCTCTTTCGGCACGCCTAACACTCTGAACGAAAGACAACACAGGGCGTGAGGTTGCGCGTCTGCTAGGGACAGAATGGGATCTACATGACTACCGAGAGGTGTGGTTCTGTCTGCTAATATCCTCCTTCGCCAACAGACGTTCGAAGTCACCTGTGCGGAGAGCCATTTTGGGGGCTTGGAAGAAAATCCATCCCCCAATACATAAGGAGCCAGTCACCAAGATCCAAGTGCTGAATGAGCCACTTTTTGATAAGCCCAGAATATTGAAGGACAATGGTGAATGTTTTGCAGCCTCCCCTTCACCTGAAAAGTTCACAAGGGTTTAACGGGGACCCCCATGGGTCTCAAAAGGTATCCTAGCTATGATCAAAGATATCTGGGATGAACAAACTGAAGAATGGACTTCAGAGACTTCTCTTAGAAACTACCTACCCAGACTGCATAATGTGCGTGTTCACTTTGAAGCAGTGAAGGCAGCAATTGCACAAGCATGGAAGGCAATACTCAGAAAAGAGAACATCTACGTACAAGATAGCTGGCTGCGGGATTAGTCGGCCACAGAGAGATACTGGAGGGTGCTAAGACCAGATCTGCCACGAGGGATGAGGACACAAGAATGGAAACCAACAAGACATTTTAATCAGATTGCACTCTCGGCTACTTACCTTCAGCCTATACGGTTGGCAGAGGAGCGGACGGAAAAGCTTGACTCTGATCTGGAGGAAGTAAGGGTATGGATTGCTGTGGACAAGAATGGAAAAGAACACTGCTATAATGGAGGTGCCATGGCCTCATCTTTTAAAGTGGAGCCGTTCATTTATGGATGGGAGAAGAGGAACTACTCGTCGGGGGTCGTGCCACTGATACAATACTCTACGAAAGTGGGATGGGAAGAGAAATCAAATAAAATGAAACCATACACACAAGGCCATGTATATGTTGCTGATTCCTGTATAGCGGCAATTATGTCAACTATTTGGCAGTCTAGAAACACAGCTCTGTTTCGTGAGGAACACTGGTCCTTGGCTCAGAGCCTCAGACCCAAAATGGCAATTTTGACACAGACCAGGTTATTGATCAAAGCAGATTGGCGGCGAAAGGGACCACTGTGGTTTCAGAAGACTTGGGCCAAAGGAAATTTGTTGGCTTCGGTTACTTCAGAACAGAAGCCGGCAATCGGCCCGTGGTTGAAGGGCTGACTATAACAGTCTCTCTTAGGGATTTAAGGTCATTTGGTCCTCGTGTGAGTATGCCCTAATACTATTGGCGCCAAAACTTCTGAACCTTATGCAAATCGTCCACTCTCAGCTACCGTAGGGCACGGTGCATGCATCCAAGCTCAGTGGCAAGTCCTCGAGAATCAGGCCGCGGTTCCTTCGATACCTCTCTGGTTATCGTCTCCTGACGGGACTTGATACCTCTCTGGTTATCGTCTCCTGACGGGACTTGACTACCGGTACACGACCGGAACGCTCTTCCGGAGGCATCTTCCGAGGTTACATTCTCTGGCCAGGAGTTCTGGTGCCTGGCGAGGTAGATAAAACCCTAAACCTGAAAGCGTTCCGAGCTGTTTGCCCCGAAGTCTTAGGGTAATTATTATAGGGCCTAGCCTCATCACGGCATGCATCAACACAAGCTACAATCCAGAAGATGCACCCAATGCAGACGAAACAAACCCAGAGAAGTAACACGGCTATGGCTACCCAAAACCCTGTTGTGGATTGTGATCCCGACCTGCACAAGTGAAGTCTCGAGTCCTGGATTTCCAATTCAAACACCCGACCGTCATTCGATCCGACGTACAGAAACTTCTTACCCCTGAAATAATGCAGTGCCACGCCGTGTAACGCAAAGCCATTAGCTTCCGCAACTGCCTTCACACTTCGGCTGGCGCCGCAGGGAGAAAGCAGAGTTATCCAGTAAATGGTACTCGAGTTCGAACTGCGGACCTCAGAATCCGATAGAGGGGTGCTGATGCAGAAGAGATTGCACCCGCCATCCGTGGTTGCAATCTCCAGCAGACGGGAGGCGGGCCCCAACATCTCCTGCTCGGGAGCAGGCTCGAGCCCCGACGCGTTGTGCATCCATCCCCATACAAGGGTAAACGTACTCTATGCTGGGTTGAATGCCCAAACTTGGCTGAGCACGGGGTCTACAAAGTACAGGCAGTCGCCTTCAGATGTTAAGCTCTCTCTACTGAAGGACATGTTTCTCACGTAAGGGTAGCTTCCATCCGCTCCGAAGGCGTGCAGTGTCTCGAACCTCGTTGAGGTGTTCAGACAAATCTCGGCGTCCGGAACCGCAGCAGCCAGAAGTCGAGGAGGCTCCGCCGCGTCTGCAAGATATAGCTTCGTCTTCGCCGGATTGAGTGCCAAACTTTCCGCCGTTCTAGCACTCACTACTTGCACTGGCTCTTGATGGCCCCAAAAAAAGGCCCCGAAGTAGTCGACACGAACGTGATGCTCGACGAATTGCCCATGACATTGTGTGTTTCGTGCGAAGCGACGAGAAGATTTGATCCCAGATCCGACAGGTCCAGGCCGCTGACGACAGGCAAAGAAGGGGCAGATATCACTCGTTCTCCGTTATATGACGAGAGAATGTCCCGAAGACTGTCCCGAAGACCGGTGGGACCGGAGATAGGTGGCGAGGCGAGTACCACTTCCGATGCCGCGGCTGGAGCCAGTGTAACAGATGGCAAGAACGTGGCTGCCTCTGCTGCCCGCAATTCCAGTTCCGCGTCGGACGACGACTCCGATTCACGGTACCAGTGTTTCATCCCAATCAGCGGCGCTGCTGCCGCGACCCCTGATTCTTCTGCGTCTCACTTCTCTTCTTCTCGTGCGCTGGAGCGCTCTGCTTCCCCTGCTGCCGATGCCGCTGCTTCTGCTTGCTCGGTCACGGCAGGAACGACTGACCCCGGGTACGGAAGGAGTTCTCTAGCTCGACGATGAGGTAACGACGCTGGCGGCCGTTCCGTTCTGGAGTTCTGTCCCGAGGCGTGTGCCAAAGGGGCAGGAGCAGATGTGGAGGATGAGGATGAGGATGAGGATGTCTTCTCCGGTTTCGACGGCGGTAACGAGACTGATACCAAGGCGGATGGCAGTGAGGATGCAGGTACCGAAGAAATGGGAGCCGACGTCGAGGATGAGGATGGGGATGTCGTCGCCTCCGTGGGAGTACTCGTCATTGGCGAGAACCTCGCAATAGTGACAGTGTCTGCCAGTGTCTTCTCTCCACTCTTGAATGGCAGGAGATCTGCTCTAGCCACGAGGCTGTCGCGGTACGAGTCCCCGCAGACGATCTCCAGACTGAAGTAGAAGACCGTGACATCGGGTACAAAGACCATGTTACGAACCCTGGTCTCGCACCCTGCAAGGTCAAGAGAATGATAATCTGGTGGAGATGGAGATGAGTAATTTACCACCATCACATTCGTCTTGAACAACGGGCTTGACGAGTCATTAACCAGCTTCAGACTCCCCGCCGTTTGCCCTCCTTCCTCGTCTCCACTACGCGACGGTGGGCTCGTGCACTCAACGGCTGTGGTTGGAGCGGCTCCGGACGATGACTCGACCTGAAGTCTTCTCGCGGCTGTTCCTCCCGCCGCCGCCGCCGCCGCCGCCACGTGTAGAGCGTTCTCGAGGCCTGGACGCACAAGCCACAAGATGGTAATGGCTAACAGGCTCGTCAAGTTGCTTCGCACTCGAGTTCGAACCTCGGTCGTGTCAGATCGCCTGGGAGGCGTTGATGAAGAAACCGCCATAGCGATCGACATCAACAGTGCCCCAGCACGAATCGGGTAACATGAGGATACGGTTACAAAGGAGGCGGATGGCGACTAATCGGCTCATCACCACATCGCCCACAAGTAACACAAAACAACGCATGGCTGCCCCCGCAGGATGACTGCATAGGGTTGTGCCTTTTTTTCCAACGGAATGGGGCTGTTACAGCCGTCTGAGTTGCAAATGCGAAATCTGCGAGAGGGTATGTGGTTGACCCTCCTACGCGTAGGGAGACAAGTGCTTACAATCCGGAGGACGGCGATCAAACCGCGTGACGATTGGAATGGCAGCTTCGAGGAAGACCGCTAGATATGGGGCGAAACGCCTCGTGCCTGCTCGCCCCGGCAGCGGGGACTCGTGCAAATGCACCCACACACCCACGCACCCACACACACACACACCCACACACCCACACACCCACGCACACAAGGACGCGCGCGCGCACGCACACAAGCTCACACACACACACACACACACACCCCGGAACGGACGCACGCACGCACTCACGCGCGCGCGCACACATGCTAAGTGCTTACAATCGGGAGGACGGTCATCAAGCATCTCGACAATTTTAAAAGGAGTCTCGTAGACGGGCCGTCGGTCGGGGGCAGAACGCGTCACATTTGGTGAGCGGGGGACACGCAAACACACCCACAGACACACCCACACACCCACACACCCACACACCACACACCTACACACCCAAGCACGCACGCGCGCGCGCGCGCGCACACACACACACACACACACACGCAGTCCGACAAAACAGTCTGGCACAGTCATGGTTTCTTCGAGTGTATAGCGACTATGACAACACACACACACACACACACACACACGCACCCGCCCATCTGGAGGAACGTGCGTTGGCCCCGAGCGGTGTTATCTGTGGAGGGCAGCGGTCGAGCTCATCGCGTCCTGAAATCGAATTGATGTTCATCTGGTACGTGAGAGGATGATTCAGTTCACTCGGCTCTGTTTCCCGTTATTTCCGGGAAGGAGGACCAGGATTTTTTTATTATTTTTTTCTCTTTTCCTTGTACTTTTGTAACTCGTTATTTTTATTTATTTATTTATTGATTTATTTATTTAACAGAAAAACAGCATCTTTATTTTTTATTTTTTTTATGGTCCGATGGACCACGGATCAGATATTAAACTGATCAGAACAGATAATACACTTGATCTTAGCCAAAAGGTCGAGAAAGGTATTTATCTTTATTTATTCGTCACTGCTCGGGGATTTTTTTATTATTATTTCTTTTATCAGAGTTCGGGGATGACTGGTGGCCCCCAACCTTGGGCATCACCACACCACTTTCCTTGTTTTCTTTGTTTTGTTTGTAACCCCATGTCTCCATTTCTGCTTTTTGGCCCCCAACCTTGGGCATCACCTCACCACTCTTGAAATGTGCAAAATGAGAATGAACTTCCCGCTAGAACATGGCCAGAGGCACCCGCCACATTTTTGTCCTTCTCACTTTTCGAGAGTGGTGTGGCTACGCCCCTTGCCAGTTTGGTAGAACGGCCACTCCCTTTGCACACTGTCCTTGGTAAGAACCTGGCCACTCCCTTTGCACACTGTCTTTGTGCACCCACTACCGACAGGGGCCTGCCAAAAAGATTTTTAGGCCCAGGGCCGAGGTCCCACTAACAAAGAGGATCCAATCAAATTCCTGAATCTGGATGTGTTTTATGCAGAGATGCAGAAAAGCAGTTCGATCTCGATTTCCTGCACCTGTTTACAAACACGTCCAGATTCAGGTATTCGATCTGATCCTCTTTGCTAGTGGGACCATGCCCCAGGGGTGCGACAGGGTAAATAGGCTGTAGGAGGGGCGCGACGCAAAATAATGGAAAATACAGGGGCGCCAGACAAAGTTTCCCTTCTACCAATTATCCCATAAATAAAACTTTAAAAAGTTACAAAGACAAGGGAAAAGAAAAAAGGGAAAAGGGAAAAGACCGGGCAATATTATTGGTTATTGGAAGGGGCAAGGGGGGGGCGGGTTTCGGCAGCGCTAGGAGGAGCGCTATTTCGAGCGGAACGGCAGCTAGGGCCCGTGCTTCGGCCGGTGCCCTAGCATCCTCCCATAGCTCGAGTAGCAAGAGTTGTCGTTCTCGGTAACTCCAAGGACGAGGAACGGTTGAAGGAGTGGGTGTTGGGACGTTGTTTTTTTTCTGTCTTTCACGTTTGCCCGAGGCATGGGAGGCATGGAAGACGGACTATCAAAGGGAACGGGGGAGAGTTGACCTAACCATAGGCCGCCCTGAATCGGAGGATGGAAGACCTGAAGACCTTTAGTCGTCGCTCGTGCTGAAGACTACGTTCGTGGTGTTGAAGCGAGGACGGTATTGGAATGATGGGTATAGCTCGAAAACGCTTATCCGGACTTAAGTTATTGATGCCTCAGATAACCTGCTATAATAGACTATATAGTGCGTGGCTTCGTTTTGCGTGCTCTCTAATTCTTTTTTGTTGCCTGGAATTTGAAACGAATGCGAGGATGTCTTCCACCGCCTTACCACACGATGCAGGTTCACGCCCAATCAACCCTCTCTCAGAGGAAGGTAGAAAACGTATCGAGGAGCTCCAGAGTGTTTGCTCCCAGATTTCGGAATTCCCGGTCTAGTGGAGACAGGGGAGGATTTTGTGAAGGTGACAGTGGACCGGGGCCTATACCAGGTTCACACTAACTGGTTGAAAGATCACGCGATTTCTATTTTCTTTGATAACGAGAAGTCATCTCTCCCTCCGGAAGTAAAAAGCAGATTCGTACGTGTGTACGAGAATGGCTGGGCAGCAGCAGGGATCTCTGGGACTTTCCCGGTAAGAGGAGCCTTCAGAAACGAAGGTAGAAATCTGGCTACGTATGTAGCTTCCTCCAAACCAGTGGCGGACTGGATGCTTCGCAAGGGATGCGATAAGGTGGAGTTGGATGGTCAACTTCACACGTTGTCCTTCCGTGCATGCCACTGCATGGATGATGGAGCAGCAGCTCCATGATTGGAGAGACGTTATGCAACAAAAGTTTTTTTGGTTACGTTGCATGGAGGTCCCGGTTTCTGCATTGGGTTTGTTAAAAAGAGCAGTCCAGGATGYGTYTGGACAAATATTGAAARTCCATCCTGCTTATAGCAACCCTTTGGAGCCGGATCTCCGAAATGTTAGGTTTGATTTAGTTCCCTCTGCGAGATTGCGCTATAAGAAATGTCTACAGRTAGACTTGAARGAGGACGGGCTAGTCAAAATAGACGTTGTCTGCGCCAGCACCGCATGGTGYCGTGCMTGTAGGYGTCACTTTCATGATGAAAAGGATYCCAATTGTCCAAAAAAGAAGGGCAGGCAGGGGTCCAATGAGGACAGAGCTAAGAAGGATAAGGGAGTGAAATCGCCCCTTCCTACTTACAAGGATGCTTTAACTAAGGGCATTGACGGAGTACAGAAGAAAGGGTGGAAGGAGGTAAGTGGGAAAATGGGTCTACCCGGTAACAAGGGTAGTAAAGCCACGGTTCCCACTAACCCCACAAATCCGTTCAAAGGGAAAGATACGAAGTCTGTCTTTGTCCCGAAGAAGAAGGACGAGGTGAGCTCCTCCAAGGAGCCCTCCAAAGATGTAAATCAGGAGAATGGCCAGAATTCTACGTCCCAGAATATTTTTGGCGAGAAGAAGGCCAAGAAAAGAAAGGGTAAGAAGGGCAAACGCGCCAGCGAATCCTCCCCCGCCAAGTCGGAGGGCGCGATTACGTGTGGCGAGAAGAGCAAGAGTCCTAGCCCGGTAATGAACAGTTCTTCTATGATTATTATAGAGAAAGATGACGAGCTGGAACTCTCTGATTCGGATGTTGAAATGGATGAGGAGAAAGTTTCGGATGGCTTAGTGGAACCCGGAGTAGGGAGTTTGTTCGAATTGGAAACGGACCCTACTAAGGAAAGGCCGAATCCGAAGGAGCTGGGGAATGCAGATAAAGAGTACGATTTTTCGATTCCAGGCCTCATATCGGAAGGACAGACGCTGTTTGAAAACGGCATCTCGCTAAAAAAAGCCAGGTTGAATAATGACTTGGCTAAACAGACAGCAGAGGGGGTGGGTTTGGCTGAACAGACTGAGACGGGGAATGGTGTGAAACATGCATCATCATCCCTCTCCAAAAAGAGGGGCAAGGCCGGAGGCTCAGCGAGAAAATCGCTGCTCCTCGCTGGTCCTATGCCCTCTCTTGGGAGAACCGATAAAGATTTACCTCCCCCAAAGCAGTTTTTCGTTCCCTTGATTGTGTCAGACTCGCCTCTGGGTATCCAATCGCTCACAAAGAAGGCAAATGATGAATCTCTCAGCATACCAGCGGTGGAGATTCCTTCTCTGCCTGCTGAAGACCAGCTGGCTTCTCTGGTACAAGGGCATGTTCTGAATCTGACCGGTACCTGTGCTGTTTTACCGGAACCGAAAATGGGCAGGCATGTAGCTGTTTCCCATCAAGAGGAAAAATATATTCTACACTTTGCTTTTATGGGAATAAAAACAGTTACAAATGCCTTTGGTAGATGGTGTATCAGGAGGGCCTACCAGCACCCCCTGAACACCCTCTTAAGACCAGGAGATGCCAGCGCGTCGTCCGTGGCTTTGACCGCGTATGGCTCAGCAAAGGAACTGTTGGTCTGGTTATCTAGGACCGACGCGGTTTCAGTCGTATCAGAGCCCAGGTTCAAGTTGATGGTGATTGCCTCGGCTATGTCAGTCTCTTTCCCCGAGAACGATTCCCGTATCCAACATTCTGACGGGGCTGACCTAAATAATGGTCCTGCCCCATAGAATTCGTATAGCAAGTTGGAACGTGAAAGGACTCAGAGACACTGCAGAAAGGAGAAAGCGATCTAGAATACCTGCTTGGATGCATAAAGAGGATATTCAGATAATCTGCTTACAAGAGACAAAATTAGACGCTGAAAAAATTGAGGAAATCAGGCCATGGTGGCAGGGGCTGCAATTATGGGCCCCAACCAGGGGCTCAAGGGGGGGAACAACCGTTTTGATTAATAGAGATCTAGACTGCGAA